CATCCTCTAGGTCGTGATAGATACGTAAGCTTGTCCTCTTGTCGTTTATCCTCTAGGCCGTGATAAATGCACAAGATTTTCCTCGTATTATTTATCCTCTAGGTTGTAGTAGATATGTGAGTCATCAGGGTTATGTTAATTATCCTCTAGGTCGTGATAAATATATAAGCCTATCCTCGTGTTGTTTACTCTCTAGGTTGCGGTAGATATGCGAATTATCTGGGTTACATTATTTATCCTCTAGTTCGTGATAAATACGTGAGCCTATCCTCTTGTCATTTATCCTCTAGGTCGTGATAAATGCACAAGCTTTTCCTCTTATTATCTATCCTCTAGGTTGTGGTAGGTATGCGAACTATCAAGGTTATGATATTTATCCTCTAGGTCGTGATAAATACCTAGACCCATCCTCCTGTCATTTATCCTCTAGGTCGTGATAAAAGCACAAAATTTTTCTCGTATTGTTTATCCTCTAGATTGCAGTAAATATATGAATTATCAGGTCATGTTATTTATCCTCTAAGTCGTGATAAATACATGAGCCAATTTTCATATTATTTACTCTCTAGGTTGTAGTAAATATACGAGATCTGAGATATAAATCATTGAGTTAGTCTTGAAGCAGCAACATATTATTTTTTTCTCTATGATATAATTCATTGTGCTAGTCTCCATGAGGTAATAGATTATCATCTCTATTTTATTCATCCCCTAAGCCGTGATGAAAAGGAAAAATCTGCGTTATAAGTTTACTATGTTAGTCTCGAAACATTGGTGAGTTAATTGGAAAACATGTGTTATTTACCTCCTAGGTTATGGTAAATACGCGAAAAAAATCCACAATCTCTTTTAGGTATTGAAGAGATATCTGCGTCATCGTATCTAAGTCGAAACATCTGTTGGTTCAGTTTAAATCGACCAAACATTTATTCTGATTTTTTTTCCAGTAGACACTTTTTCTGGTCCAGTTTAAATCGACTAAAGATTTATTCTGATTCTTATCCAGTTAAAGACGACACAAGACATCTGCTAGCTCAGATTAAGTCGACCAAAGAATTATTCTTATACTTCTCTTAGTTGACCCTTTTTCTGACTCAGATTAAATCGCCCAAAGATTTATTCTGATTCTCCTCAAATATAGTCAAGCATAGACTCATTATGATATTTCTATCAACAGTTACTTTGGATGACATCTTTAAGAACATCTCTGATAACTCTCAATCATCTTTCCAAATGGCATCTTTAAGCCCATTCCCGGTATAATCAACAAACAGTTTTACTTTATGCAGAAACGAGTGCAAATTTTTGGGCACTTAAGTGTTTAATCATCTTTCACCTTCAAGTCACGAATGGCTGACAAGTCAATCTAACTCTTCAGGTTTAAGAAGATTGAACAGGGGAAACTGTTGTACCCCAAAATTTTCCCTCTCTTTTCTCAAGACATTTCTCAAGGGTTCTCAAGAGTTTGATCAGACAAGCCCATCTCCTAAGCACTAAGACCACAAATTAGGGTTTTAACTAAAGTTGACTGATCATTGACTTTTGACCTAATACATAGTATAATGGTTTGAAACATAATCTCAAGGACTCAAACATAAAATGTTGACCTAATTTTATGACTCAAATCACTTCTCAAGATCAATGGATTGATAGTTGAATTTTGGACCAACTGATTGAAAGTCAACTGATACACAAAAAGTCAAACTTTGACTTTTTGGTCAACATTACATTTCAAAGATCAAGATTCATCAAGATACTTAAAAATATAAAACTTGATCATCAACAATAAAAAAAGTCAAGAAAGTCCATAAAAGGTCAAAAGTTTTCAATACTTAGAAATTTTTGAAGTGTCTTTACACTTGATAATTTAATTACTTCATGACATTTTTTCACCAAGATGCAAGATGATTCAAAGAAAACTTTCAAAATGAAGGTTGTAGATCTTGATGAATTATACAAATTTGTATTAGATGGTTGATGTCCAAAAAATGCTTATATTTTAAGATATAGGCTCATGAAGTCATGACATTTTTGTATAAACACTTAGAGAAATTTTCAACAAGTTTGGTCAGATATTTGTCTCAACTTCTTGGCCAATTTTTATCAAGTTCCGATTTGATTTAGCCAAAGTGGTCAACATGAAAGTTATAGAAAATGTTTCAAGCTTTCCAAAACATCCATGAGCATCAACTTATCACACTTGATCTAGGAGATTCAAAGGCATGAAGTTGGACATGCATTCTTAAATTACAAGTCATTTTGGTGAAGAACACATAATCCAATTTGTATGCTATGCTGCATAATCTTTCTTTGCAGGCCTTCTAACTTGCAAATCTTACCATAATTTAATGTTTACACAAACTTTTGAGCTATGTTGCATTTGATTTAAGTATTCTCCAAATGATTTTTCCATTTTGGCACAAAGTTAACATTATCATTCTTGCAAAGTAGCTTTAATCACAAAGTCAGCTCTTCTTGAGCCTCTAACTTGTTCCTTCTACACACACTCAACATACAAAATCAGATAAAGCATGCTTAAAGTATCCAAGAACTCTATGAAGCAAAGTACAAAGCATTGGAACTATGATCTTCAATTTTGCTTCATTTACAATCCAACCTAGCCACAACATGTGATCTTGCAAATCTGATCAACCTTTGTCTTAAAACCTCTTTCCTGTAAATAGAGAGATCATTTACAAGATAAAAAGAGATGAACAAGCCCTCAAAACCCATTTACTCTCAAAAAACCAAAATTGTCCACAAAACCTCCATTTTGAGCTTTGAAGTCCAAATCTTTTAATCTCTCAAACCTTGTAAGTTTTTCCTAAACAAACCATCCAAATACTTCACATACATCATATAGAAGTTAATCAAACACAAGAACAACTTCTGTAACATCATTATCACCATGTTCCTAACTCAAAAACAATATATTGCAACTTGACTTGGTTGGAGTGATTCAACAACTTTCAGCATAAAGTGAGGATTGACATAGTTTCAAGAAGGTCTAAGGGAGCTTGATCAATCATAATATTGCACCTAGAACATTTAGAGGAGGTATCAGCCTTTTCTCCAAGAGAGGTAAGTTTCCTCAAACTTTGATATCTTTATCCATACATCATTTATATTCGTTTTCAAAAGAATAAAACAGGATAAATCAAGGCATAAAAGTGAAAATATCCAAAATCCTAAAAAAAAGCTCCAGGAGCCCTGACACAGGCGGCCGTGTCACCTGACACACTACATTTCAAGGGGGAAGACAAACCAAAGAGGCAGGGCAGAAGTTGACACAGGCGCCCGTGTCACACGATACAGTCCGTGTCAATTCAGTTGGGATTAAAAAATGTGCAAGAAGAAATAGAAGATTCTGACATGGGTGCCCGTGTCCGCTGGAACGGCCAGTGTCAGCTCAGGCGTTAAAATTCCTAATTTTGAGATTTTTGCTGTAGTTTTAAATCATTAAGGTTACTTTGGACATATTGCACTACTTGGAGATGGCCTAACACTATACAAACACTTTTTCTAGATAAAACATTCAAGTTATTTTCTAAAATTATTGAAATCATTAGACTTAAGTTTTATTTTTATTTAATTAACCCCTTTCGTAATTAAATTTACTACAAAACCTTTTCCATCAAAAAACCCATAAAAAACAATTTCCTTTCACTTTACATTCTTTGCGCATTTTACCATTTCGCATCACAATTTATGTAATTGTTGAAGCTGCCGGCGAAAAACACAGAGCCGCCACCGAACTTTATTCATCCCGAAGGAAGGGGAAATATCGATAAAACCACAAGAGGATGGATAAGATGGTCTTACGACCAAGAGAAAGGGTAAGGAATTCGATTATGCGAGGGGAAGATATTAGCACCCCTCACATCCATTGTACTCAATAGGATCCATTTTGTTTGTTTGTTTCTAAGGGTGTGTTTATCTATAACTATACTTGCTAAGGGGAAAGAAGTGGTTTTTTATTAGTGCGTTCGTGAGGGTCTCGCATCCCTTTTCCTACGTATCCAGTGAAGAAATCAGAACACCGTAGTTCTTCTAGAAAATGTTGTTTTGTTGGTGTTTTCTAATGGGAGACGTTAACACACGCATTCTAGCAATATGCACGACTTGTATCGCGGTATAATGGAGATAACATGCCCTTTTGGGGAGTTTTGATTGGTTGAGTGTTTTGCGAGTTTTAGAATGAATTCGAGTAATGATTAAATGTTTTTGGATTTTGGATTTGTGAATGAGAAGTTTTAATTTTAATTACAAAAGAAAAGTCAAAGGGGAAGTCTACCCTAATGTTGTTATGTACAAAGATGGACTAAAATCCTACCTCAACATAAGCGATCGAACAGGGATTTAATCGCCTCATGGAGTTACCTAAGGGAGTATGGTATCAAGATTAAAACAAGCGAATAAATAAAGAAACTTAAATTCTAAATATTTTTATGGTTTTTTATCAAGTTAAATAAAAGAAAATAGTGTTTTATGATTTTTTTATAAAAAATAAAATATGAAACCCTAACCCTAAACGTTCTAATATTAATTGTGATTTTTAAGTAAAGAAAAATAAATAGTGAACTTAAAAGGAAATTAGGACCAAATTCTAAAATATTCTAACATTATCTTGTGATTTTGAAGTAAAGAAAAGTATTAAAAGAAAATTAAAACCTAATTCTAAATATATTTTTGTTATTTTTATCGAGTTAAGAAATATTAAAACAAAGAAATCCAATTCTAACTTAATATTCTTGTAGAAATTTTTTTAAGTAAACAAAACAAATATTAAAATAATACTAATATTTACTATATCATGCTAAGAAATTTAAAACAAATAATTAATAAAACCAAATAACCCAAAAGAGAATTGAGTGAAATGAACCAGGGTGGTGCCATCTGAAACCAAGAGGGTGCTTAATCTATTATCCCACACCTTTAATCATCTTCATCCTTATCTTTCTCCATCATTCTACAATTCCGAACCCATCACTCTCATCTCTATGTTCTCGCTCGCACCAGAAGCACTGAGTCTGAGTGTTCTGTCGAAGTCTCCGTCTCTGATCATCGATGTCGTCGAGGTAGGTTACACATTGGTTGAAGTATGGGGTTTAAACGCCAGAGGAAAGATTGGAGAATGGGACTTTGGTTGAAAAAGGTTTACGTTTGGTACTGTGAGCAGTGGGATACAGACTAATGAATGAATGGTGTCGAAGGAATCGTTAGGATGAGTCTGGGAATTTGAAGTTGGAAATAGAGGTTACGTCGCGGATGGTAAGTGACGCATGTTGATGGTCATGAAACAGAGTTTGACGCGGTATGGCTGTCGTGAGGATAGGTTGAAGAAGGGTGGAGACAATAGAATGTACAGAAGGTGAAGGTGGCTGTTGGATTGGTGATGAAATGGTATTGTGAGGCGAATAACATATTGTAGCAGAAAGGTTGTTAGAGGGTGATGACAGAAAACGAAAGGTAATTGGAGATTGGTGAAGATGTTGTGTTGTATTGGCAGCGGAGATAGTCCAGAAATAGTAACAGAGGGAGAATCGAAGATGGCTGGAAAAGTTAAGAGAGTATGTTGGTGGAAGTGGTGGTTAAACGATGATTTGGAATCTGGTGACAGAGTCGAAGAGATATTGTGTTACGGTGATAACAAAAAGGGAGTATAGTTGTTGGAGGTAAGCTATTCCAACTAATCACTAACTATGTATGTCATCCATTGTTTTTATCTTGCTAATTTAACTTCTTATTCATCAATTACACAAAAAATTTGGGATCCACTTAACAAAAATGATTATTTTTCAGTTGAAGGTTTGTGGGATGTTTTTAGACATGTATCATTTTATTTCACTCTTATTCATATATGCTTTCTTTGACATTATAATCAAATGAATTCATATATCTTCGTAGTGCTTGGTTTAAAAGAGATTGAAGCAACAAAAGAGATTGTGCATACTATATCAAATGGAGAAAACAAGGTTTACCTGAATTCAAATTATCTTTTGTTGAATCTTCAGGAGATGAATTTGGAGCCAATATGTAAGCTACTCGTCAAGACGAATTCTTGAGGTAACTCCTTCTTCTCCTTGTCTACTTCTGCTTTGCTCTTATTTCCTCCATTCTTCTTCCTTGAAAAGAAACTGGTGTCGAATAGTTATGGTGGTGAGATTTCGGTCTTGAGGGTGGATATTAAGGTTATGTTGATGAGAGTTTGAAGCTACAGGATTGTGGTTGATCTCTACTTATCGTTGGTAAGATCTGAAATGGAGGGTGATATGATTTTGTGAAGAGGTTTGGTGTTGTAATTGTTTTTTTTAGGTTCTGGTATGAAGCAGGTTGGTGAAGAATTGGTTGAAGAGTGGAAGAAGTTTATGCAGGGAGTTATATTGTATGGTGGATATTCCCTACTGATTTTCTCTCTTATTTTTCTCTGATTGAAGTCCCAATTTATAGTGCAGAATGATAGCATTTAGGGGGGAAAATGGGATGAATTTGAACTGTTTTGGTATGTTGTCTTGTGCTTTCTTTGGTACAGTTTTTTGTTGGCTATTTTGGGTAAGTTAGGAGCAGGTTTTAGGGATTTGTGGACAGGTTATACGGGGATTTTTTGACATTGTTTTTGGATTGGTTTGAAGAAGGATTTTATGTAGGTTTGTCACATATTTTGGCATGTTTTGTTTGGCTTTGTATGTTGCAGGTTTTGCAGGCTGTTATGTTTCAGGTGACATTTTTCTGACCTATTCTTTTCCTCTTTTTTTGTCTATGATGCAGAACTTTTGTTCTACTTTTCTTATAATTTCTGAAGGGTTTGTTAGTTTATAAATATGATGATACATTTAGGGTTTTGGTTATTTTCTGTTTTTGTGCAACTTTTGTGAACTTGTTTCGAACATTTTTTGTATTTGATGGTTTATGTTGTTGCTGGCTTGCCTTTTGGTTACTACTATTTTGCCTTTTGGTGGCTGCTGTTTTGCCTTTTGGTTACTGCAAGTTTGCCTTTTGGTTGCTTCTATTTTTCTTGTTGGTAGCTGTTGTTTTGGGTTTTTTGAGTTGCTGCTGTTTGCCTTTTGATTGCAGCTGTTTGCTTTCCAGTTTTGTGCAAGTTTTGGACAGATATATTCGGCCAGTTGGGACTGTTTTGTTTGGCTGTCCTGACTTTGATTTCTTTTGCAGTAAACTTGTTTTGAACTTATTTTCCTTTTGTGAACCAAAACTAAAAATTATGTGATTTTCAAAATAGGATATATAAGCCCATGATTGAAAACAACCCTTTGAATTTCTGATTCTGAACACAAACCCTACTGATGAGATGAGAACTTTCCTTTAACAATTTGTTCTTGTTTGGAATTTTTATTCAAATATTGATGGTTCGCTAACTCTTTCTCTCTTTCTTGTTTCATGAGCAATGAGGATTAGATGGCAACTTGTAATGGAGGACAAAGCATGAAGATGGTTCAAGTTTGAAGAGTGAAAAATTGAAAATTGAAATTTAGGCTTAGAAAGCATCCATGTAATCTTGTAGTACTATGAAAACTAGACTTGAATGTAATTCCATTCCAATTTCTTTGTAATTGTATGAATGTTAGGATGAATGAAAGACATTTGAATCTCTTGCATTTGAATTCTTATATCTTGTCTTGATGAAACTTGAAATTCCCCGCTTGAATGGTTTGGATGACAGATCTTATAGAACACTTTTAACTTGGACTTTTGAATAAATTGAATGATGATGAATGGTATGTGAACTTGAAAGAATGATGTGAATCTTGGAATAATGACTTGAATCAAATTATAGCATCATTCTTAAATTTAAATGAAACTTGAAGAATGGATGAGTGATGAATGATACATCTTTCTTTTGTAATTTGAACTCCAAGCAATCATACGGATGACCTTTGTAACTTGTATTTCAAGTAAACCATATGCATTGTCTTCCAACTTGAATCAAATTCTTGAACAAAATAAATGCTTAAAAATTTAGTTTCACTTGGTTAACTCGAACTCAAAACAATGATCATTTAAATGAACACCTTAATCTTCATATCATGTCCAAATCAAACTTGCACTCTCAATGAGAACCTTAACTTTGATTTCCAAACCACAAGTAACTTGTAACTGAAGTAACAAGAAAAACATGCCTTGATTATCACACGAGTTCACAACATCATCTCTTGTTCCAAGGCTCAAATACTTGCAATTTTAGTCACAAACCCTTGACCATAATTTTTAATTATTTTAGATGCTCAAATATGATGATGCTCATTGATAAAGAAAGATCTCGAAGTGTTGAAGATAATCGAAACCCTAATCCAGGACTTTGAAGAATATCCCTGTGACTTGATGAAGAAGGAAATCCAAGATACCTCAGAAATTCATTCCACAAGCCACTGCTCAAGAACCAAATGAATTTGTCTCTTCAAACCAAAAATAAACCCTAATTTTCCCAAATGTCGATCCTTAAACCCAAGTGCATTATTGAATGAAATGAATTCTATGCATATGAATCTCGTGACATGCATCAGAGAAACAGTAAAAGGGTAGGACAAATTCGGGGTATGACAGCTGCCCATATTTAATCGTCTTAAACCTAAAAGTGAGATTGGCGGTAGCCTTTTGATCATTTAAGGTAGAAGAAGATTAAATACCAATACCTGAAATTTTTCCTAGAGAGATGGTGTAAGTGTTATTATTTGTGATGTCTGCTGGGGGATGAAAAATGAAATTTTTGGTGAACTGGTCATGATGGATAAATGGGGTTGAGTAATGATAGCTTGTATTGGAGTAACGGTGCCAATACAAGGTTCTCAAGGAAGCGGACGTTAAAGTGATTAAAAAGATATGGTTGACGATGTCGTGGTGATTGAAAGTAGGATTAATGACAACATGATAACTTAAAGACGATGGGTAGAACTCGACAACGACAGAGAATCTATTGTGTGGGATTCACGACCCAAAAAGAAAGGTAAAGGCAACGGGTAAAAATTGGCATATGATCTATGACTCAAGAGAAAAGATATCATGAGGGTAAGATCAGCGAGCGACCTACTACCCTATAAAAAAGATAACGTGAGGGTAAAGTCTACGGATGACCTACGACCCCAAAAAAGATAATGTGAGGGTAAAGTCTACAGACGACCTACGACCCCGAAAAAATAACGTGAGGGTAAAGTCTAGGGGCGACCTATGACCCTAGAAAGATAAAGCGAAGGTAAGATCTACAGACGACCTAAGTCCTTAAAAACGTGAGGGTAAAGTCTACGAACGACCTACGACCCTAGAAAAGATACACTGAGGGTAAGATCTACAGACGATCTATAACCCAAGAAAGATAACGTGAGGGTAAAATATACAGACAATCTTTGACCCGAGAAAAGATATCGTGAGGGTGAAGTCTACGGACGACCTACGACCCTATAAAGGATATCGTGAGGGTGAAGTCTATGGACGACCTACGACCCTAGAAAAGATAAAGTAAGGGTAAGATCTATAGACGACCTACGACCCTAAAAAAAATAAAGTAAGTATTGAGAGTTGGGGAGTACAATGTGCTTGAACCATGACTTCTTTGGTTGGTAGTGTAATGACAGATGTCAAATGGAAATTATGAGGATGATATTATTTGTGGTGATGTTTTACTGCTTTGGGGATTTATTTGGAGCTTTCGTGCAATGTACCAAATCTGGCTTATGCTGCGTATGCATTTTGATTTGTAGGGTGTACTAATCCATTTCGATGGATATGCTATGCGTTTGAGGATGCAATGTAATATGCCATGATGATTTTTATATGCAGAGTGTAAAATATTAGGCTCATCGGGGTCCGTTTCCTGTTGTCTTGAGATGTTAATACAGATTGGTGCTTGAAAACTTCGAGAATTGAGTTATAGCCTTGTCGAGTTCATTGGGGATTAAATCTTGCTGAGGAGGAGTAGCTTTATCTGACTTTCTCCACATGCTGGACTTCTTGTGGATGATTGAGTAGTGACATGGATCTCATCAAATGCCCCAAGTTTCTCAGTGTTGGAGAATCGGGTGTTCAACCGTCTATAAGGAGGTGAAGAGGATGAAAGCTTGGTCGAGGTGACCGTTATGACTTGCTACCCGCATAGAAAAATAACACTTAAACACCATGGAATTACCTTGGGATGCCTTTATATCCATGTAATGCCGTGTTTTGCATATTAGCTTGTGATTTATTATTGCCTTATGTTAGAACATAGTTTGATTCTCCAACCCTTGAGTAAAGTTTTGATGATAACAAAATACAAAGGATAAAATGATTTCTAAGTTATATATAAAGATCAATTATGCTCCTGAAAATTATGCTATGTATATGCAGAAGCTCTGATAGAATCAGCATTAGAATAGAAGCAGCATCAGAAGATCAGCAATCTATGTTACACGCTGAAACACTGGAGTCTGATGACCAGAATATGCGCCTAATCAAATACACTATGACTCTGATCAAAGACATCTTTTTCAAGTCATCTACACTCTGAAGTGTTATCAGCAGATACATCAAAGAAGATTCTGAAGCGTTACTAGGCATTTAAGACTGAATTAAATGCTAACGACTTTCTTCAGACAAAGATCTTCTACAAAAGGAAAGTGCATTATTATCATTAAACCTGCTTTATGGATAACGTATCCTTGCTTGCCTATATAAACAG